GAACCGCTGTTGTTTCACACGATATAGAACGAGGTCAGGAGAGCCTCAAGATTGACGATGCGGAAGCATTAAGGAAGGGCAAGGTCAACGATAATGTTCTTATCGCGCTTGCGAAACAGCTGCTTGCTTATCGTGGCTCACAGGTTCTCTCTCGTTAGACGTTATGCGCAATGCGTTCAGCCAGATAATCTGATCGAGCAAATAATCCTGCGATCCGGCACAATTTCACGAATGTCTTGAACGTGTCTCAGTAGCATTCCGCATACAGTTATTTTTAATTCTACCTTGACTAGAATTGTGTTACTTTGAGTCCTTAACGCGTGCCGAAAGTACCAACTTTAGCACGAACTTAAAAAATGTTAAATCGCTGGCGTGAAAAAAGGAGGAAGTAAACGAGAAGGTAAATGAAAAGTGGCATCCGATAATTAACAGCTTTTAATCGTTTTATCATTTTAATTATTTTTCATCGTTTTAAATTTAAAGTGATATTATTCGGCAATATTTTACAAACGGATAATTGCCTTTTAGCCCCCGAGAGCATTGATTTCAAATCTGTCACATATTACACATATTTTACATATAGGACGTTTCATATCCGATAATATCTCAGAGAAAATATAATGATTTTATACACAAAAAGAGAAATAGAATAAATTTTAATTTTTGTTTTTGATAAAAATCACTGTTGAAAACTGGAAAATTAGTAATGTCTTTTTCTTCCTCTGAGCGTACATGATCTTCCTGTTACGAGGTTACGGTGGTGAAGCATGTTGGAAATAACGGGAGGTAAAGGTATAGTCTTGAAATTCGCAATTATTTCCCTTTAATATAAATTTTCATAAAGTTAGAGAAAATTTTTCATAATTGATAAGCGTACGCGTCTATTTTCGTTTTCCTTTTCTTCCCTCGCGCGGATAATTTGACGGGAAAGCAGCGCGTAGCGGTTCGACTGGAAACATTGAGGCAAAATTTTATGCGCTGCACACTGCCTGAGCAAGCCAGCAGCGCGCGTCCAGCCATTCTTTATTAAAGGGCATACCGATCTTCAGGCTTCAAGGCCTCTTGCGTGATGAATGTAAGGCCGAACTCTCGTAACGTAACCCGTCTCGACCTAGCCTCTGCCTACCCTATATATACATAAAACGTACCTACGTACCTTTAACTCTGTTTAACTTCCACCTGAATTAGCTTTCATCTACCTTGCGGGTCGTTCCACACATTGTTCTCCGCAATCTAACTCGACGTCGTTTACATTTCGCAGTGGCCCGTGCTAATGTTTAAACCCTTCACCGTTCACCGCGGATCACTTTGCTTGATAAAACATCTATTACCTGTAAAAATTTCCCGCTTGAAACACGTATTGTTATAATATGCCGAGGGTTGATGAAATAAAATTCTGTGAGATGATTATATATGATTCTCTTTAATTCCTTGGCATCGAGCAATATCTCTCTTCTGTTTTAACAATAACGCAATAATTTTACAAATGTAATTACGCGTTTACTTCTGTATCTACGCCGTTAATTAAAATTCCGATAAAGTGGAACGTTTCTTCGGACTAGATTAAAGAATAGGAATATTTTAGTAGCTTATACCTAAAGAAATGGATCGTCGTCGCATTCTTACTAATAATAAAGTAAGAAAGAAGTATTTCTAAACTAATCAAAGAATACGAATGTAAAAGGAGACGTAAAAACGTTTCAAAAAAGTTTATATATCTCTTGCAATTAATTATATGTAAAGCCCGTCAATGCACGCGAAGAAGTGTCTTACGTTGAAAGCACTCCGCTTTCATCGATCGAATTTGACATCGCGCGCAAAAGACACTTTGAGAGAAAAAAAAGAAATGAACGTAGGACGTCCAACGGCTCCGGTCAGAGGCCTTCGTCTACCAGGAAAGCCCGAGCTTGTCTGCGCAATAAGGATCCGAAGCATTGCAGACAACCTAGGTTGGTCCCGTCCCTTCTCACCCTCAGACGGAATGTTTTGCATTTTAAGAAGGTGTCGGATATCCTTTGCGTTATCCGAAGACAGGCCTCCCTCGTTGCTTCGCGCTCGTCGCGGGGCAGGGGGGAAAGAAGGGAAAAAGGGTGCGGGGAGACGACACGAGAGGCACAAGAGCGATCCCTCCCTTGAAATCCGTAGTAATTCACGGTCCTGTATTACGTGGCAAAAAGAACACCCACCCCGGCGAGACGACCGATGCTAGCGGGGTCGCTTTACAGTGAACGAACGGGGAATCCGCGAGAGCGTGTTTAGTAGACGCGTCCGATGTTATACATTTAACGATATTTATTTTACTTGCACGTTACTTTTTTTTTTGTCACTAAGAATTATAGTTGCACGAAATTTCTCGATTTTACGTAACATATCAATGCATTACGTATTTTAAGAACAAATTCAACTTTTTGTGTAAAACACTGATAAAATAAGTTTTTTTTTGCGGTTGATTTTGATTCCAGCATTACAAAAAATGTGAGAAATTATGGAATTTTTTCCCAATATATGTTTGTTTACAGAGTTAATAATTTTTTATTAAAAAATAGACTTCTAACGTGTTTTATAAAGTATAATCGTGGATAGGAATTGAAATAATAAATCATACTGTTATAAAAGAAAATATTTCTCAAAGAGAGAGTTTTAAGATTTTTGGCATATTTAAAGACTCCCGAAATATTCCAAGATTTTTAAGACTTCCAAAAATTGTTTAATTCCGAATAACATTCGAAACGATTTGAAATTCTCGTCACATATTCGAATAGATTTATATTTTGAGTTAATCACTATTTGCAGAATGTCTCGCCTAATAAATAATGAAAGGGAATAATATTCTATTCTATAAGCATGAAATTAGTAAACACTTAAAGCGACGAAAATTCGAAAGAGTCGTCGCGAATAAGCGAAAGAGTTGAAAAACAGTCGCCGGAAAACGGATTGGTTGGACTCTCGTGTGGTCATTTTCTAGAGGACTCGAAGGACAATCGCATTTAATCGAGTCGCCGTTTACCGAGGCTCTTGCTTAAAGGAGATCCCAGATGAAACGGGAGCAAACTCGATCGTTCCGGTATCCAGGATCCGACAAACCCTGTTTTTTTCTTTTTCTAGGGAAACTGTTAAAAAAAACAGTACTTTTTCTCCTTCGTAAAATACATTTTTCAAGCAGTTTTTTAATGGTTTTTATTGAATAATTAAAATTAATTGTTAATTTGCGGATTGTGGATCGTGCAATAATTGTGCAGCAAATTATAGAAAATTACTGAAATCGAAGAAAAAGATTGTAAGACAAATTCCGAAAGTTGTTCGAGAGATTTGCGACCGTACCGAGAAGAAGTATCTCGTAAATCAAGAGATATGATGTATTCGAGGAAAAGTAAAAATAGAGATTTTAACTTATTGATAGTTATAAGTTATATAATTTCGCAAATACAGCTTACAATTAGTAAGTATGCAAAATTTATTTATCCGTTATATGCAAAAGTCTTTTGTTCTATAAAATAGAACTTCTATTTTTAGCATGAGAGAAGAGAGGAGAGCGCATTTAATTCTCTGTGGAATTTGTGAAGTTAGTTTCTCCATTCCTGGCCATTCAACGAATAATCGATATTATTTAAATGCTGAAATTATTTACGCCGATTTTGAGCGTTGCACGCGTCAAATCAGATTTTTCATGCACGATTTCAAATCGACATCTTCTACTTATTGATCTCTTCCGCGGGAATTGAACAAAAATAGTTTGTTCGGAGAAACGTAGTCGTTTGCCTTTGTTTATATATTTTTATCGCTTATGCAATCAGCTGTCATTTGTATTCGGCTTGTTTTGCGTGATATTTTTCTCGCGAATATTGTGGCAGTCTGTGAGAGAATATGGGTTAGGGGTTAGGTATATTCTTAGAAGGTTAAGTTAAATTGAAGCGCTCTTACCTCGAGGAAATGTTATCACCAGCCCTGACAACAAGGGGCAGGGGGTTGTTCATCGAAATGGGATTACTTTTTTATTAAAGGGCCGCGTGATACGCATTTAGGATTCACGATATATAGCAAAAATTAAGCCCAGCTTTCCATGTTATGTTTGTATAAAACTTTAAAAAGTGCCTCTCTCTCTCTCTCCTTCTCTTTCAACCCATAAAAATGCGAAGTTTTGCGCCCATTTTTTATGCACGTAAAAACTTTTTATTTCCTTAATTATGTGGGACATTGAAAACATTATTTTAATCTTATTTAATCTATATTATATCCATATACCACCAACTCATCATTTAGTATAATTTCTTTTCAGTAATTATTTTATATTCATTAATATAATAATAGAGAGACTGAAAAGGTTCTTGACCGTACCGAGAAAATAAAATTTTTATAGGAGAAAAAGAGATATTAAAAGAACCGGAACACAATATTAATGCGTAAACATTTTTATCGATATATATTATGTAAATTGTTTCTGTAATAATTCTTCATTTATTTCGTTTCTATAATGGTTAAAGAGATAACGATCGCAAAGAAGATGAAATATCTTAATATAAATATTTTCAACATCCGCATTCTATAGCGCCTTTTTGTCGTACGTATGATCGAACAGATCGTTAGCGGACTGATAGTTAAGGCCACGTGCCACAACGTTCTGTTATCTTTATTGGTCTTTCTTGTCGTGCAATCACCAATACAAATATTTAAGTAATAACGTCGTTAAAATCCATGTAATTGAATTCTTTTTACTGAGACATTCGCTCCTAAGCAACTCCGATCCAAAGTTGAGAGTGCAGAGAGTCTTAAACTTGGTGTCTTTATTCTAAGAAATATAATTCATTCAATTAGTACATCGAAAAAGAAATTCGTGATCGTCTCGAGTTATCCTTTCGCACCGGCTCGCAGCGCGCGCGCTCGTAATCGAGCCGGGCGAGCGAGATTTATAGACGCGTGGAAGGGATATCGATCGTAGGCCCATCGTGTATTGTTAGTAATTGGAACATTTATGAGCCAATCAATCACTTCTGCTGTTGCAGTCCCCCCTATGCTCTGGATACCGCACCAATTGGTCGGCGCGCCCCTGGGTTACTCCGTTACGCTGGAATGTTATACCGAGGCTCATCCGACTTCTTTGAATTACTGGGCGAGGGAGGACGGCCTAATGATTCACGAGAGCGGTAAATACAAGACTGTGTCGTTGCCGGACAGGCCATCCTACAAGACGCACATGACGCTTACGATATACGATATACAGGTGAGTGAAGGCATAATCAACAATTCCATTTGTTTTTCGAAAATAACCCATTTAAGAGTTCCTAAATAATTCTTCGCGTGTATTTGCAATTGTATAAAAATGGTTTTTGAGAAAAGAAGCAAAAAAGGATTTCTTCTTTATTATATATATGTATATATAAGAATTTATCGTTAATTATATAAACAGTATAAAAATATTTTTAGTTCTTCCAATACATTACACGAAAATTGAGCGTAAATTTTTTTGCATATTTAATGAATTAAAATTGCACGATAATCGGAACACGAAAATCGCGACGTAATAATCGCTGTTAAAAAAGCGCATGACTTAATTATGTATACCGCGTTAAAATTCACGATTAGGTAATATATAGCGCCATATCGTAAATCACGATCGTTGCAAATGGACGATGAGCGCGACAGACGATGAACGTAATAAAGCACTCGTCTAGAATATCCGCACAAAATAAAAATGCATAATACATGGCGCTATACGACTACATAGATATCAGAATAATTTACGACTATTTAGTAATAACGGTATTAACATTTCAGAAGATACAATAACAATAACTATTGATTAACATTAAAAGAAAATACTTTGTACATTTGCGTGATTCTATTAATTATAAAAGAATAAAATTTGTAATGAGCAAAGTCATGAATGTACGGGGGAATTAAAACGTTTCGGTTTTAAATATTAAATTTGACAATTAATAAAGAATATTTTATTGTGATTACTTCATTAAAATTTCCATGCATTTTAGAGAGTGGTGTAATTTGCTTTTACCTGTTTACTTTCAGAAAGAAGACTACGGTAGCTACAAGTGCATCGCCAAGAATCCACGTGGAGAAACCGACGGGACGATTCGTCTGTACAGTAAGTATCTCTCTCGGTTTGCCTGCATGCGCCCCGAGCCATCTCCCCTCAGTATCGTTTACTAAGGTAATGACGGTTCGTCGCGAGCTGTTTGGCGCGTTTATGTCGTTCTGTCATTCCCCGGTTGTTTACGAAGTCGACGAAGACGGTCGGTTCTCAACGAACTACGTAATTTCTACGGCACACCCGTTGACGGATACCGTGGTTTCTTCGGGCAACGCGCGCTCAGCGCACGGTTTGACACGGTTAAACTCCGCGACGAACGCGCGCGCGTCACGCGATCTTCCTCCTAGACAAATATACCCATGTTAATTACCTCTGCCTAATATTTGCCAACAGATCGCGATTCGCAGTGGCACTTTCCTTGAATTAAATCGCAACATTAGTTGGCTGCAGTTTAACGCGGTTTGTATAAATACCGAAAGCAGCTCCACATACGCGTATGTATATATATATATATATATACATATATGTATATACATATATGTATATATATAGAGGAAAGTATATATGTATACTACTGTTAGGCTTTACCCCTGACTGGGTCTCAATGCTCCCACATTTTTAATGTGACACGCGTTTCTTTTTCTCTTTTTTTTTCTTTTCGATTCGTTAGTCTTTGCCTGCGCTTTACGTTACCTTCGCCGTGTGAAGGAATATAAAATGCATACAATCAAGGATTTCATCTGCGGCTTACAGCCACGATAAAACTGGAGATATGGATGAAATATGGGGACGAAGTACGAACGTACGTACCTCATGAAAAAGAGTATGAATCGGGATATGTAGAGAGCAAATAGAATCGACGGCGCTTACGAAAACGAATGCGGGGAGATCACTCCATTAGTATGGATCGGTTTTTCGCATTAGCAATATTCAAATGAAGCAAACATTTAGCATGAAAGACTACCGATAAGAGAAAGAGTGGTGCGGGAATGTAAACCTTCCTAGTTCGATAAAAACAAAAGGCGAAAACGATTGTTCGATATATATATAATTTTTCTTTCTTACCGTCAATCTCGCTACGGACTTCCGCGCGTAAATGTTTAACAAATTAGATATTTCTTAAATATCTAGATTATTTACGTAAGAAAAGTTACACAGGAAATCGAGATATTTTCAGAAACAAAACGCGCATTATACATTTTCTAGATATTTTTCAATTAATTACACATATAAAAATATCCCTCTTTTAACTAAAACGGTCTCTTTGTATTAAAATCGTAATTGATGTTACAAGCTTAGCTATGCGAAACTGGATAGTTGCAAATTCGCGCGTGCCGCGCATACTATCCACATTGTGGCGCAGACAAAATTAAAATTTTTCGAAAGCACCTCTTTTTAGCTTTGCAGATAAGCGACGTCTTTTTTAGAAGAAAAAAAAAGATTTTTTTTTTTTTTGCGCGAAACAAAATTAACCGCGATACATCGCGATGGTAAATTATTGCGAAAAGCATTTTCGACGGAATCCCATATTCCGACCGGATGACTCGTTGGACTATTGGTGTGGCGCTAATGCTGAATTATTGGTATCCCCGAAAGGGATGCGGGATTAACCGCGCGCTAAGAGTCATGCTCCGCAATCAAATGCGATGCGGAGTTATATACGAGCGTCGTTATATATTCTATTCTAAGACGCGTAATTATTGATAATTGCGAACGCTTAAGACCGGGACTATTGTCTGTACGATATGCATAAACGATTCTCACGATGCATTTTTGTCTTTATACCGATGTACATCACAATGTTGGAATTGAGACGAAAGAAATATAATAAGATATTCAATAAATTGACATATCTTGAGATATTAGAAATTGAACTCCTTTGATGGGGATTAACGTTCTCGCCTTGCGCGGAAAAGTAAACAGCAAATAAAGAGAGGGTGTGTGCGCCCTTTTTCCATCCATTTAAAATCGTCGATTTAGAATCGACTGTGACCATCCCCATTGTTCTGTCTACGAGCGAGAGGATGAGAATACGAGGAAAAAGTCAGACCAGAAAGGAATTCGAATTTCTCGGAGCTTCTCCAAAGAGGAAGCGGAGAAATAACTTCGAAAAGGTCCCGCGAAGGCTTGGCGGAGGTACACGACGGCCCAGGGGAGAGAAGCAAACAAACCTACTTCGGTACAGTCAGTAACAACCGGCAGAAGTAACGGAATCCGTCGCGTTCCTTGAAGATGGTCGGGCGGGCTCGAAATTAAGTGGCGGCAGTTAGAGATATGTCAGACAAGTTTTATTAAGCGACATAAAAAAAGAGATTTGTAGACTGACTGAAGGAAACGAGCGATGCGGGAGAAGAGGGGGGGGGGCAGGACCTTACCTCACTCCGCGGGGGTATGTCGTCCCGCGAAGCGAAGAGGATGCCTCGGTTGCGGAGCTACAGCAGCAGTAAAGAATAGGGGAAACAGACGAGGGGTCGAGATATGAATTTATTATTAAGGACTGCCTAAGGGGCAAAGTACCCCTGTTTCTTGATATCCGAGCGCGTTTCGTGCCCGCGTCTTACCTCGCCTTTACCCTCTTGAGGCCCTTTTTTTCCTTCGCAACAGAGATCCATCCCCTTTCCCTTCCCCCTCCGCTCTCTACTCGAAAAAGCTCGAATTTCCTGGCTAATTTATTCCGCGGTCGAGTCAAACTGCTATTTGTAGCGGTGTTGAAGCGCGGGCTTAGCGCGCGAAGAGTGACAGGTGGAACGGGGCAAAACTTACGGCGTTCGCTCGGATAGTAACAATATCGTATTCATTTGGCTCCTCGTCTCGTCCTTCGTCTCCCTCTGCCGCCCCCACCGCCTCTCCCCTCCCTCTTGTGATTTCCTCAGCCCGAGCGTCGTATACATAATGCAACGTCCACCCCTGCCGCATCCACCGGTTCAACCGCTCTCTGTGTCGCTGCTAAGACGCGGATTTAATAAACGGCCGTTACGCGGCTGCTTTGTCGGCGTCCATAATGTCATTTTTCACTCCCCTTAATTCGGACATGCTTGTGCATGGGGCATTATCCTTTTACACGGGGTCTGCCGGGAAAAAATGTGTAACACTAAATTAGTGTAAATAATGTATCTAATACTTAAATAGATACGAACGTAATATTTTTAACACCGTAATATTTTTTTGAGATAGTTGGTAATTATTGATTTTATACGATATACATATATTACATTAATAAGTTACCTCTCTCTTTATACGAGTTTACAAGGATTATTGGGTCTGTCGCTATATATATGTTGCAGCATCATATTCATCGCTCTATCGTGATAATTTGATTGTTTCTTTCAAGGGTCAATTAATCACGATTGTATATATCTAAATTTTATTATCGCACTTTTTGGCAAAGTACATCGCTTCAACGATTGACATGTTACACCTCTAAAATCGTGTTTTTACTCTTGTAAATCTCGCTACCGTAAAACTTCCTCGCAAGGTAATTATAATGCGACTCGCGACAGTAAAAATCTCTTAACGCTTAACAAGCTCTTGATAAAATTCTTGCAAACGAAAAACTTCTTGTTGTACTCAAATTCTTTCTGCAAATCCATACTGAGTTGTCCGGACTTTGAAAACTTCCGCGGTCGCGTGGTATCGTGGCTCGCAAAGTTCTACGAGCTTTTCATTTGGATTTGAGAATTTCACTAACGAATTCTTCAGCGTAAGATGCAAACGAAGTCGTGGCCCGGCGTGACTTTGATAAATTTGTTGTGAAACTCTTTCTGCACATGCATTCCGGACGCTGGTAACGCAGCGGCACTTAGCAATTTTGCCATCGGAGTTACACGGAGGAACGAGTTTCACCGAAAATCTCGTTTAGATTTTGAAACGTTGCCGGCAAGCATTTTCTCACTGATATTCACGCAGATAGTATCTCCACGAAGTTATATTCTTAACTTATCCGAGAGGTGTGCTCCGAAGAAATATTCATTTCCCGCTATATTAGTATTCCTATTTCTCGGATAATTTTGGAATATCATGAATATTACAAAATGCAATTGTTCTATAAATATCAATCACTCCTTGCTACAATATTAATGCAATTGAACACTTTTGAAGGCTTTTAGCGAGAGGTGTTTAAGTTATTGTTACTCATTTATTAAGTAATAGATCCGTGAAAAAAGGTGAAGCGAGAAAGAAATATATCATTTTTGAATAATTTTTAACAATTATAGTACTACATATATATTATAGTATTTTATTTCTACACGGAAAGGACGATTTTGCTGAAGTATCTAAAAATTTAGCTAGATACAGATCTGAAAATAATTTTTTTGTACCATCAAAAAAAAATTTAAAAAATTATTTTCAGATCTATATCTAACTAAATTTTTAGATAGGTACTTCAGCAAAACCGTTCTTTCCGTGTAATATTAAAGCTAATTGGTACTTTCTTTTTATAACACACTTTTTAATTCTATTTTTAAAAGAAGCAAGAAAGAATTTATCATTTTCGAAATGGAGCAATTTTTAACAATTATAGTGCTGCATATCTGTACCTTATAGAAGTAAAGAATCGTATGTCCATTTTTAAACATTTCGAGAAAGAAATAATACATTTTTTTAGATATAAAATAAAAGTAGCGACTTGATTTATTAACTTTTGAATAAAAGTATCTTACATGTTTAATAGTGCAACTGCCAATAACACGCTGTACCTGGTTTAAAAATTAAGTCACTATAAAAATTTTCAATACGACTTTTTCTAAACATTGTATCTTAGGAACTAATAATAATAAACATAAGATGTTTTATACACTTTATATTATACACTTTAAGCTCCTGTTATATTGAAAAGTGAATTAGCTCCATTTTGACAGAAACTAGAGATACGATCTTTTACTTTTAAAAAAGTACAGATATAGTTTTTCAATTTATAATATTAAAGCTAACTGATATCTGCTCTTAATAACACATTTTTTAAACTATTTTTTAATAGATTCGTCGTTTATAACGACGGGCGAATAACTCGAAATTCCGTGTACATATCGTGTACTATAAATTCATAGGTTTAA